CAAACTGAAAATTAAAGACATAGAATGAATCAACATACGTTTCATGTTTAAAAGAAAAAGGCAGTTCATTAAGATGCTCTGAACATTTTTACAATTCTATTTTAAGTACCCTTGGTATATTACAAGAATCTTTCTTTTCTGTTTTCAATCTTAGTTTTGTGATAATCAACAAAAAACAGTTATATGAAAATTATTTCAATAAAATTTGTAAGCAATTCAAATTTTATGTAAAAGGTAAATAACTTTTTTAAAAACGGTGGTAAATGTAAGGATGACTAATAGCATTCTTTCAAAAACAATGCAAGCAAGATAGTATTGATGGCATTTGCATCATTCTTACATAATAGTACAGGCACATAGTAGTGTAGTGGAATGTTAACAGACAAAAACAGGATCAATTAAACTCTGTTGTGATTGAATAGTTATATTGCTATAGGTTAATTCTTGCTGTAGGGATGATGCAAATGCCACACCTATCTTGTTTGCATTGTTTTTGAAGGCTTAATATTAGCAATCCCTACAGTTCTTTTCTTTACTTGTTTTTTTAATGCATTATTTCAATAGACATGGGAAAGGTTGTATTTATAACCTAGTTCTAAATAAAATGTGGTTCGAACTGTAATATTTATTTTGTATCTATTCTTTTATTGGCTGGTAGTTCCTGTTTCATCCCGTACTTAAGCTTTTTAAAGAAACATCCAATTTCTGTAAGAAATAACTTCAAGGGATAATGATTACATCGTTCTCTATAATTAGGATTTTTTTAAAATTACTATTAGTTAATAATACTTATAAAAAGCGAATACTTCGTTTGAAACTGTCACCTCAGTGAAATGGTTAACACCATTATTTTGGTTTTTGAGTTATGTAATAAATAAAAAAAAACAAGAAATTCAAATTGTTATTTACAGACAATCCCAAAACTTAACTTGGTCATTACATAAATATTATGAAAGGAAACACTGTATAGTATTTTAAAGTTCTGATGACCTATTGAGGAGATATTTAAAATACCATTTGTATGAACAATCTGAGCCATTCCTACATGGGCAGTGCTACCACCTACCTGATAATAATGTATTTATATTATTTCTTAGATTACGCTGTTTACGGATATGAAACAAAATTCATTGATTTATTTGATGTTCAAATATTTTTACTGGAATGTATTTATTGTATATACGCCTTGATTTTGTTAGTGTTGCATTGTATTTAAGTTCACTTAAGAGCCATGTAAGCTGCGAAAGCGCTTCTAACTAAACCAACTAACTAAATATAATACAATACAGTATTTCGAACCTGGTGGTCCTTTTGATATTTTAGATATATTCGCTGTTGGTATATTACTGTGCTCGTTTTGGTGATCAGTGATAATGCTATCCACACTAGTGCTTGATTTTCCTATTTAAATGTTTTGTACAATATCATCGTTCATATTTAGACTATTTCCCTATCCTTTATGTTAACTTTTCCTGGTATTAACTTTTTGCCAAATATTTCTTCCATTATCACTTTAAATTTTATTTTATTTTAAAACAATCTTCTGGTAACTGAGGAATCTGTTCTATTTGTCCATTTTTAAAGATTTAGTAACCATTCGTTGAACTCGCTGCTAGAGTCCAGATCTCGTATTTATCTTTTAGTTAGCTTTAACTTTCGCCCAAAACATCGAATATCTTATCGACTCTTTCACTAGACAGCGAGATCCGTGTCTAATACCGGGAAGCTCTTGCCTTAAATATCTGCTAAATACAAAGATTTTGTTTCTAAATAGTTCATTTCTTTCAGTGAGGTCTGACTAGTCTGTCCAAGAAATCTATGACTGCTTTCTGCCATCAACGCTTCATCCCATAAAATTAGTGGTCTTTCTCAATAGTTATGCATATTTACTGTTTATCATAATACTTAAAAACGAATTTTCTAAGAGGAACTGGAAACTTAGAGATAAATTTTGATTACATGCGTTTTCTGTAATCCAAAAAACCCAACAAAATTTCAAAACGAATTTAAAAATGATTTTATGTTAGACCCCATTCGTAGTCAAAGAATTTGCTTCCGAAAATCTATGCTTGATTAATACTGAAAACATGATTTAGTATGGTAAAGAATGTAGTGACTAAAAGATACGTTTCACACAAAAAACATATTGGACGAAGAAGGAATCAAAAGTGTGTTCAGAAGGAAGTTGGAAAACATACAAGTGTTTAATGCGTAATTTGAGAGAGGACAATAAAAATAACTTTTGCCAGTTGCCTGGAATTGCTGGGAGGAAAAACACCTCACTCCCTCCGTTGATTTGGTATCTTAAACGTTGCAACTTCCTCAAAGCATCTTTTCCATATAACATCATCGTCAAGAATATTAAATTCACTACTTATTTCTCTAAAAGTAGAACAAATCCTTCATTAACGGTCTTCGATTGAAACAGCTGCTTTCATATGTAACAAAAGCAATCTTGGATGATATAATTCCTTTTTCAGGAGCTTACAGGATTTTGGGCACCACTGGTGGTCTTTTCGCCTCGTTTTCTTTGCTTCCAAACCAAACTGGATGTTTTCCACATCTAGTTATTTATATCAGGGATACAGCTATACTGAAAGTTTATAGGTGTTGTATCCATTCCATGGACATATAAAAACCGAACAAATATGTGAAAAAATAATTTTGACGGAAAGTGTGGATCATTGGTTATTCGTAAATTGCTATAAGAAGTATCCAAAACAAAATAAATGCCACAATAAAAAGCACACAAAGAAGTAGTGATATTAGTTGAGTGGACTTTATTACGATTTTAAATCCCTACTTTGGTTGGCAAATTTAGACTACTTCGTTTAGCTATACGGATCACATTATTTTCTCAAGCAGCACTTTCCCATTTTGATACGATGTCTACAATACATATCAAAATAGGGATTTGTAGTTTGAAAATTATCTAGACCCTATTTTTAGCCAAATTTGTTTTTTTTAGTCCCTAGTTAAGACTTGAAAATATCTTTGCATTTTGATTCAACTGGGTTCTGAACTTTTTTGATGATCCCTATTTTCTTTTTTAAATAAATTTTTACTAATTTTGTTTCTTAAGTTTTTTGTTTATATGCATTAATGGGCAATAAATTTTGAGCTACATACGTGTATATGCATTAAGTTGAATGTTACATGTTTTTCAACAGCTTACTTCTGCATTGTCTTTTGCTCCACCCACCCATATTTACTGAGCCAGATGGTTTTGTGCCTGAGGTTTCGTGTAAACACGCGGTTAACAAGCGTCGAGTACTAAGGATGCCGCTCACAACATCGCATGTATTGTATATTTATAGCCACGTAAATCAACTTTCAATAAAAAATAATGAACTTTTTAAATACGTTGTAGACATTTGCAGCGTTTCATATAGTATACCTATGTTTTGGTGCAAAATACCCAGCCGATTTTCCTGTGAAACAAAAAATATGGATAATAATGTTAAGATATACACTCACAACTTCAGCAAAATACTAAAATCTAGAATAAATCACAATGATAATCGTCTACTGTTAGAAAACTCGCTGAAATAGTCGCAGAAAACCACGTAGACATAGTACAACAACGAACTCCAGAAATACTCTCAATGTGGCAGTTTCCAATTAATGCACTGTAAGTTACACAAATTATTTTCTACTTAATGTGCATTAGTAAAACACCGGATTTTTTTCAATGTCGGAAGGTGAAGGACTTGGAAATTTTTCAGGAGGAAAAACGAAGGTACATGAATTAATTTTAAAGCTACTTTATGACGTACTCAATACTGTATTCATTACTATTGTCCAGGTTTGAGTAAAACATTCGTAGCCGTTTTTTCTGTAGCAGCTTATGAAACTGATCAATAATAAGGCTGGACACTATTATAAATATGCATCTTGTTTACTATAATAAATCGAAGCGTTACTGACTAGTATACAATGGAGAATTTCCAACTATTATATCGGTGCTTAAATGGCTTTTACATTTCTGAGATGCTTGAGTGACTTCAAATAGCTTATGTGGTTAACAAAGAACATTAAAAAGTTTAGAGGGTAGCAAATCTCGACTTTCAAGAATTAACTTAAAAATCGCCTTAAAATCTTCACAGGAGTTTATATAGTAGATGTGCATAAATGTTAGCACAGTATACCTGTGTTTGCTGTGAGCTTCGAAGAGTTTGACAGTAGGGATGGGGCGAACTGAATCTTTCTCTTTCAAGAATCACCTTTAAAATAGTCTTAAGACCTGCTAAACAGTTTCTTTAATAGGTTTGCCCAGGTTTGAATAAAATATTCGCAACTGTTTTTTTTTTCTGTAGGCTTATGAAACAAGAATAATATGAAGAATAAATCAACTAAGAATAAATCAATCTTAAAATCAACTTTTTTGCAATTAATATTTTTAACATCCTTAGCCATTGAGATAGGTCTCGAGTGTTGTTGTTTCGAGAACAAGGCTGTTTTTAATATGGTTTTTGCGGGTATGCGTTATGAAACTTTGTTAAATTCCTCTCTTAGTTTCTTATAATATCATAAATAATCTTTCACTTTTACTAGATTTGAATGTCTTTGAAAGTGGTATCTACAAAGACGTGTAGAACTCTTAGACCAAAGGTTATTGTATACTCAAACATTTTACAGGAAACTTGCGTGAACGGTATTTTACATCAACTTGTTAAACTAATTTTCGATTGGAAATACAAGCCTACATGTAAACCTTTGTGTACATAAATTAATGAAACTGGAATGTTTTGTTTGTAAATCCTACAATCAATATATCACTGAATACTTGATTCTGCCCTTTACAGGTTGGAGTAAAGAACAAGACACTGGACTGAAAGACTATTCTGACGAAAAAATCGATATGAATTTCCTACTTCCGTTTACTGCTACTATAAATACTGATGACAATTTTTGGATAAAACATGACAAAACTTTGTACACTCTCACATCAAAGGAGCCTACCGATGACCCTCCAAGTGTGTGGACTTTCGATGAAAAGATTATCGGAGAAACTACCAGATCAAAAGAGCCTGAAACTCCAGCTCAAGTCCAAACTTTTAGACAATCTGAAATAGGTGCAAAAAAATCGATGCGTACAGAATCAAAAACAGCCTTTGTAAGTAAAGTGTTAAAAGACACTAAAAAGCCTATAACAAATGTCTTGTTGATTGAACCGACGAACCTTTTGGTGAATCCTAAATTTGAGGTCACTTATACATCATTGATCAAAAAGATAGTTAAAATATTGAATAAGAAGATGAAAAATGTTCAAATTGATGTGCAGAGTTTAATACCGGTAGTTGGCAAAGTTGCGAAATTGAACATATCATCCGCATGTCATGAAATTGGCACATTTAATACAATATTTGTTGAATCTCTAAATGCTGGAGAAAACGTAACAATGGAACAAACTGACTTAGCAGGACTAAAACCAAGCACCGAAACACCTTCGTCGAGAAAGTTTGACATTTATATGGAAATTGATGTGACAGAAAAATCTGTTAAGGTATATGTAATATCGAAAACCCTAGAAATAAGAAAACCCTCACCTTTGGAATCCTTCTTTCTTGGAAATACAAAAATAAATCTAATAAAACCAAAACCTATCTCTCTAAATGCAATGTTAACTCAATTTATATCTACTAAAAGCAATGCTATACCAATATGTTTAGAACTCGAAGCTACCTTGACGTCAAGCTCTGAAACAGACAAAGTAAATTTAATGTTAAGAGATTCTGAGAAACAGCTGTTCCAGTCGCTTGACTTGGATAACAAACATGGCAGTGTAAATGACATTATAACACGATTTCAGGCAGAAAAATTTAACGAGTTATCAACAAAGAATATAACTACTAAACTTGACCAAATAACGGTAGATCAAAAGAAAGGTGCAAAACGTTTAGTTGAAATTCCATTGAGAATAATACAAGCCAATAATTATCAAAAAAGAACTTCAAATATATCTGCAAACCCTACAACTACTACAGCATATGGAATGATAAAAGGAACAGGAACAAATACTTTGAGATCAAATTCTCAACATACAACAGTAAATCTTCTTTCATTCGACTCTAAATCTTCAAGGTACCGAATGCCAGTAGGAACCAAAATTTGTGCAAAAGATATTTCAACAACAGAAAAGTCTTCAGCAACATTCGATGTCGCAACAGATCCTCAAGTTAACTTGAAAGATTTAATGCTTACAGACACCTCGCCTGTAATGGCACGTTCGGTTGCAAGAGAACCTTTATCCACAAAACTAAGTCCACTATCAACTGATTCTGAAACTACTAGGAAGGACATGGTTTTAGATGAAGTTGAAAGTATCGTCATAGACACAGAGTTCATTGACCCTGAATTAACTTTAAACTACTTAATACCAATAAAGACAAATTTGAATGATGCCGATTCAAAGATGGCTGAACTTGAAACCTTGGGGATGAATTCGGTATCAAAAGAGCCTCTATCCAAAATAATTCCTATAGCATCTGACCACCAATCTATCACAACATTTGTTGTTCAAAAGGAACTTCGAAGTACAGACGATGATGTAATGTTGCCAAACAATGAAACTAAAATAGAAGAGGCGGACGAACCAGACAAAGAAATTGGTTTGGAAAAGCCCTTGCTAACAAAATTTATATCCCCTATAACTTCTAGAGTATCAGGAAAGAGTCAAATAAAAACCGTAGACAATGCATTAACAGACCATCAAAAGACCCACCTAAATGTTATATCTACAGATTCGACAAATGGTGGAAAAGTAACATCCCAGATTCCGGGTTATTTAGTAGGAAAAATATCACAACAAGATAATGCATATGCTACTGAAAATGTAGAATTCAAGCGACCTGTTAACACTAATGGATTATCACTCGGAGATAAATATATTACTCAAAGAGTAGTGTCCAAGAGACCTACTTCTAGAAAACGAACGGTACTGTGGAGGGAGGGTGAATTAATTACTGTAAATCTGACAACTAAGAATTCTAGCTATACTAACGTAACTCCATCTCAGGATGAGTTTCACTATGCAGTTTTAAACACATCATATAAGATGCCTAACTATACTACTACAGCAGCACCATCCATAAACACTGAACATAGAACTGCAGTAGTAACATCTCAATGTAAATCTATTACAAAGAGAGAAATATCCGAAGATCCTAGATATAGTAATGTGTCCATACCATTCAAGAATAGTCAATATACTAAAGATAACTGGACATCTGAAGAACCTAAATATATTGGTGTGAGAGTGCCATCCAAGGAGAGCGAATATATTACAGTTATTGCAATATCGAAAGATACTAGCTATAGCATAGAAACGGCAACATCCAAGAAGAAGAATCAATTTACTACAGGTAACGAAGACCTCGGCAATGCTAATGTGACGTTATCCAAGGACAGTGAATATACTACATTTAACGTAACACCTGAAGACCCTAACTATACTCCTGTCACAGTATCATTGGAGGAGAATGAATACACAACTATTACAACATCGAAAGAGTCTAGCTATACCAAGGAAAGTGAATATAATACATTTAACGTAACATCTGAAGATCTTGGCTATACTAATCTACCAGATCAATTCAAAGAGAATGGATTTACTAAAATTAAAGCAATACCCATACAACCTACTTATAGTAATGCAACAACCCCATCGAAAAAGAGTGAATATACTATTATTGTAACAGCCAACAAGCCTAACTATATTCGTTTGACAGCACCATTCAAGGAGAGTAATCAAACTACAATTATTGCAACAGCCAGAGAGCCTAAATATACTAATGGAACAGTGCCTTTCAAAGATAGTAAATATACTAAAACAATACCTATACAGCCTACCTATCCTAATGTAACGGCATCATCCAAGAAAAGTGAATATACTACAATAAATGCAACATTCGTGCAATCTAACTATTCCAAGGTAATAGCAATATCAAAAGATAGCCAATATACAACAATTAACTCAACATATGAACATAATTATACTACTGTAAGAGCACCATCCAAGGAGAGTGAATACGCAACACCTCTTGTGACATCCAAAGTTCTTGGTTATACTCGTGTGACAGCACCATCCAAGGAGAGTGAAGATACGACACCTCATGAGACCTCCGAAGTGCCTAGTTATACTACTGTAAGAGCACCATCCAAGAAGAGTGAAGATACGACACTTCATGAGACCTCCGAAGTGCCTAGTTATACTACTGTAAGAGCACCATCCAAGGAGAGTGAAGATACGACACCTCATGAGACCTCCGAAGTGCCTAGTTATACTACTGTAAGAGCACCATCCAAGGAGAGTGAACATACGACACTTCATGCGACCTCCGAAGTTTCTAGTTATACTACTGTAAGACCACCATCCGAGGAGAGTGAACATGCGACATCCAAAGTGCCTAGTTATACTACTGTAAGAGCATCATCCAAGGAGAGTGAAGATACGACATTTCATGCGACATCCAAAGTGCCTAGTTATACTACTGTAAGAGCACCATCCAAGGAGAGTGAACATACAACACTTCATGGGACCTCCGAAGTGCCTAGTTATACTACTGTAAGACCACCATCCAAGGAGAGTGAACATGCGAAATCCAAAGTGCCTAGTTATACTACTGTAAGAGCACCATTCAAGGAGAGTGAACATACGACACTTCATGCGACATCCAAAGTGCCTAGTTATACTACTGTAAGAGCACCATCCAAGGAGAGTGAGCATACGACACTTCATGGGACATCCGAAGTGCCTAGTTATACTACTGTAAGACCACCATCCAAGGAGAGTGAAATACGACACTTCATGCAACATCCAAGGACAGTGAACATAGGACACTTCATGCGACCTCCGAAGTACCTAGTTATACTACTGTAAGACCACCATCCAAGGAGAGTGAACATACGACACTTCATGCGACATCCAAAGTGCTTAGTTGTGTTAATGTAACATCACAATTTAAGGAGAGTAAGAATACAACAGTTATTGCAACATCTGAAGAAGCTTATTATACTGTTGTTACATCATCATCTAAGGAGAATGGATATGCTACAATTAATGTAAGATCTGACGAGAATAGCTATACTGGTGTGTCAGCACCATTCAAGGAGAGTGAACATAAAATAATTAATGCGACAGCTGAAGAGCTTAGATATAGTAATGTGACAGCAACGTCGAAGACACGTAAATATTTTACTGAAACTGCTGTTTGGGAGAATGGCGAAAATGCTACGGGAACTACAGCTTTGAAGAAGGGCGAACGTACTAACGGAAGGGCACCTTCAGAAGAGAGTAAAGATTCTACCGTAAGTAAAACTCTGGAGGAGGATGAATATCGTAAGATAAAAATCAAACCTACAAAGCCTAGCTATTCTAATATAATCTTGTCATCTATTACAAACATGACATCTAAGCCGAGGCATACCACAAGTACTATATCTTTCAGAAAATATAAAATTTGTAGTGGTAACATTTCTTGTAAAGATACCACTAATGAAAATGTAGTGTCAGATCAGCTTGGTTATGCCACGATAAATCTAACACCTATAAAGCCCAGCCATAGTAAAAGAATATTATCTCGTGCTTCTGAGTATTCTGAAATAAACGTAACTACCGAGGAAAGCGGTTATCTCGGAGAAAAAGTGACGTCAAAGAAACCTGAATATTTCTTGAAAAACTTAATTGGGATGAAAGCCGCATTATCTGAGATTTATGGATATACTACGACGAACACATCTAAGCAGGCCAGCTATATCACTCAAATGGAAACATTCAAGATTCCTAGTTCATCTATTGGTTACCAAACCTTTCAACAAAGTTATTCTAGCACTTCTGAAAACGCCACTGAAAGTGCAACATCTAACAAGTCTCGTCACTCCCTAGAAGGAACAGTGCGTGTATCCACGTTTCCTTCAGCAAATAATTTATCAACAGAATTAAGTTTCATTACGATTACATGGGAAAGTGAAAATTCAACAGTTGACATTGTTTCTAGTGAAACAAAGGAAGCGATAAACAGCGGATTAATTTCTGGAATTGTAATCGCTATTGCTATTGTTATAGGTCTTGTGACTAGTTTTCTGATTTATTTCATTAAAAAACGCAATACGAACGAAGAGTTAGAGATAAAGGATCCAGTTTATCGACAAAAGGATGATGTGTGACAACAGACAAACCTAGATATTCCTTAATCACGCTGTTATTGTTGTTAAAATGGAGTTTATACTATTTAATCTTTTATGTGATTATGAATACTATAAAACTGAAGGTTATCAAATGAAAAGTTTAAATTATTGTTTAATTTGTTATCAAGTGTAATATTTTATCAAATTTTTCTATATGTTGAAATTGACAAATATATTTTTAAAGCAACATTATTTGTTTAATTATTTCTAAGTAACTTATACTAAATGTTTTGATTAATAAATTTTTATATATTGCAGTAGTCGAATTTTCATTTCTGTAACTCGGTGCTATCATATTTCTTCGGTAATTACATTTACAATGTAGGAAGTGCATTAAGAATCTCAATAATAACTACAAGGAAGCGAATTGAATCTTTGTTGTTCTTGTTACTCCTAATAATAATTTACAAATACAAAACTTGCAGTATAAAAACGCATTCGATCACGTATTACCTGCTTCAGGAAATTCAAAGATTATCTCTAATAATGCCTGTTCTTCACAGCCAATATATTTGAACCATCTAGTTAAACAGGGTAAGAATGAACTTCGGGTCAACAGAGATAATGATTACCAGAAAATTTAAATTTCGCTAAGTGTGAACTTGATAAAGGATAATGCAAATAAAGCAAGTATGCGCACACGCACGCACACACAGTAATAATATATATAAATAATAACTTAGGTTTGAGTTTCATATCTCGATGAACCATAACGAAAAGTTCAATTTAGTAACCATAAACCTCTTGCGTCAGTTTCAAGATATAATGGATAGTCCTTCGTGTCAAACATATTTTAGCGATGAAACTTAAACTGGTTATACTTACTGCAAAACACTTATAACCTGTTCAAGGTTGATTTAATATCTTTTGTTAACTACAAATATTTTCCTTCACAAATCTACATCCATAAATACATGTTCTTTGGCCACAAATAGTCTAATGATTAGCATATCCGGACTGTGAGTACGAGGATTCGTTATTCGCGTACCAATACCGCAAAAATGCTCTCCATGTTTTGGGGCCCATGGGTACTCTATAAAAGTTGTCAAATTCCATTATTCGATCATAAAAGTAACTCAAAGTTACCAGTGGGGGTTGTTGACTAGCTGTGGTTCTTCTAGTCTATCAGTTCAAAATACGAGTGTAATGATAATGTTCAGATAGCTCTAGGATACGATAGTTTAGTCAAAAATTTAAGTTATTTTCCAGTTATTTTAATAAACCAATTTGTTCAATATAACATTTTTATTTAACAGATACGTCAGTTCAGAGTTGTTGTTGTTGTTGTTTTTTTTTTACCAGTCCGCCAATGGACAAAAATGTTAATAAGTCGGTCTTGGGCCTGACGTAGCCTGATAGTTATTGCAGTCGACGCGCAAGTTGATCTAAACTCGTCACCAAACATACTCTTTCAACCATGGGAATGTTTAATGTGACTTGCAATTCCATTCTTCACTGGCAAAGAGTTTCCGTGAGTGGCATTGACTAGTTGTCTTCCCTCTAGTCTATCACTTCTAAGTTGGGGACGGTTACTGCAGATAGCTCTCGAGTAACTGCGCGAAATTCAGTAAAGTCAATCTAGTCAGAATTATTCCAGTCTGCTCTGAATTTTGATGTTTCGTAAAGTAGTATCTTTGTAGAATAAAAGATGCATATTTTAAGGGTTGTAATGTTGTGTGTGAATGTTTATATATTCAATTACAAACCTATAAGCGGCACATTAGTTTGAACTTGCTTTTAGTATTATCATTCACGTCAGCTTTCGTAGTCACATTTTATGGCTGAACTAAGACCATTGTTATCGGCTTTTTAAGAGTTTCGAAAATGCTATTTGTCGCATAATAGATTTATTTCAGAACAGCGTTTCATCTTTAACAGGGAGACAATCATGTTAAACTTTCAAAGTTTAAATAAATTCAAATTAGAAACACTTCAAATGAAATAATTGTATTTATGATGATACTAGCACCATCTGGTTTTTCATGTGATTAACTTAATACAAATATAACGGTATTCCTTGCGGTACAAATTAAGTACATGAAAACTACATCGGGAACCAAGATTAAAAGTTTTCCCCTGCAGTTATAGTTACATAATAGAAAAATGTGAGAATGGCAGGTGCATAAAATAAAATGTTTAGGCTGTGAAAGTTTCTATGTAGGATAAACAGTTGGAAAAATAATGACGAGATGCAAGGAGCATGAAAAACAGACTGAAATATAAATGAACAATTTCTTAAGAGCAACAAAAAAACTTAAAAGTGTTAAAATGTTGAATGTAGAGAAATATTCAAACAACATATGAAAAATGTTGAAGCAGGAAGAATCCAAGAGTTAAACCTAACGTAAATAAAACATCAGGAGCACCATTATATTTGTAATCATACCAAAAATCATAGGTGGCTAGAGTCATCATAAACTCAGTTATGTGATTGGATGTATTTGTAAATTGTATCTATTTGTTATACGTGATCATGTCTCGCTGTAAGAGATGAAATGTTGTACTGAAATAAATCTATTATTTCAAAACCTTATGTAAGACTGTTCTTACGTTATGCATGTTATTGTTGTAGAAGAATAGAAAGTTTCAATTTGGTGCTCTTGTATTGAATTGTAACCCTCTCGTAATTCTTATGCAACTTTGTCGTTTGCAAATATGGTTAGTTGAGGGTTTACTGATTTTGAAAATTATATTCGTATACCCATCTCCGAACTGGTTATAATACCCATGTTTAATAATAATATTTTTTCTTTGCTGAGGCTATTCAGGTGTTTTTATCTGGTAACCTTATAACAAAAAGGCAAACAACACGAACAAGTTGAACGCGTAATGTTGTGGTCCATGAAACAATGCATTAGGGAAGAATGAAACTGTAATTATTGGCACATCTTAATGACATCGTTTTATTTTGTTTCTTTTTCTAAATTTAAAGTAATAATAAGTTAATATAAACCAATATTTAACATTTCTGAGAACTGTGTGCTCATGTATATACTACATTATCTTCATATAATTGAGCTTGCGATGTATACGTCCAAAACTTGGATCTCGGAAACTACCGCACCGATCATTACCAATCATAATATTTTTCATAACAAGGCAGTATTTTTATGGCTGAGCAATAAGTAAGACAACTGAAATTTTCACAAAAATGATATGTTTTAGATTTAACTAATAAAAATTACCAAAAAGAAGGATTAAGTTTCAAATATAAAACAATCAAAAAACAAACTTAAAAATATTATTTGTTTTTCTTTAGTGAAAATCTCATGAGTGTTGCAGCAGAAAAGCAAGACATTTTCATTGATAACTGGGTCTACAAAGAAATACTTTAATAAAATATACTCTGTGATATAATGCTGTGATGATAGCTCATTTTAAAACTAAAATTTCAACAAAACCCTTTTTCTCGTCAAATATGAATGAATGCATTGTTGTAGAACTGTCAGGCAATTCCAGAAAAGGTCGCAGGAAGTAGCAGTTATATCTGCCCGGAGAGAGGTTATTTCATTTAGTTATCTTAATGGTCGTGAGGTAATGAGAAATGCATCTTTTCATCTTTTACTTTAACTCAATCTTGTAGTTCACATAGTATCTTTAGTTTCTGCTTTCTCCACCTCTTTCCTATCTTTCTTTGATTTCTTTGTTGTAAGTTTTTATAAGTTTTGTTGTAGCATATTTACATTAGTATTTAAAAGGAAAAGAACGCTCGGCTGCCACAGAAGTATGCTGTTTTTAAAAAAGGAAGAGCATTTGGGCAAAAGGAACCAACTTAGTTATACTTAGTACAAAATTTGACCCTGATATGGACACTTTCTAGCTATTCAGTTAGATCAACCGTACTTATAATGATAATAACACTAACTTTCAGTTAGCTCAACCGTACTCATAATGATAATAACACTAACTATTCAGTTAGATCAACCGTACAATAGTTAGTATTATTATCATTATGAGTACGGTTGATCTAACTGAAAGTTAGTGTTATTATCATTATAAGTACGGTTGATCTAACTGAATAGTTAGTGTTATTATCATTATGAGTACGGTTGATCTAACTGAATAGTTAGTGTTATTATCATTATGAGTACGGTTGATCTAACTGAATAGTTAGTGTTATTATCATTATGACAGTTAGATCAACCGTACTCATAATGATAATAACACTAACTATTCAGTTAGATCAAAAGTACTTATAATGATAATAACACTAACTATTCAACAACATTAAGCTTACCATAATGACACAAATTTCATTTTATACCTGAAATTCTTAATGAAAACTCAATGTCTCTATCAATCAGCCTAAGATATTGACCCCTGCCACGATTCGCCAATCAAACTTTTACTAACACGAAATGAACGCACGTTACCTGGATAACTAAAACATTGATAATATAATTCTAATCATAACATAAACTTAACAAATTAAAATAATATCACAAGCACAAAGGCTTAAAAATTTAATACAATATAACTCACAAATTTAACAGTCGTCTAAAAATGTTTGTAACATAATATGCCTGCTTACAGCAACGTCAGAGAAAGAAACTTATTTGTTTACTTTCTTCACTAGAGCTACTTGTAAGAAAATATATTAATAATTTGTTTTCACATAAGTTACTCTAATATTTTGCACACTTGAAACGTTGCTTATAAATTTACATGTATCGACACTAGAGATCTCTGTGTCAGATAAACTGATTATCAGGAAATTTGAATCATGTACATGTAGCAAATAAACCAAAAAAAAAACAGTAATCTTTCAAGCCCTTACTTTTATAGATATGCAGTCTAGGGTAGTGAAACCATATTATTAATTATCGTTCTCAAAATGACTAAACCTTATTTCAGAAAAAAAACATGCGTAATAACATTTGAATGACACTAAATCTTGTAGTAAACACAGTTCAGATATGTTCTTTCTTACTCTCGCTTTGTATATATATTTAATTTTCATCATTCAAATGACTTGTGATAATTTATCACTGGTTCTCGCCTACAGTTGTTTTCTTTATATTTATTTATTGTATAATATTGTTGAAAAACATACGA